CCCGTTAATGCAATATCCTCCAAGCCATAATGCCTCCAAGGATTGATCTGTTGAGGTTGCACAGGTTTCATTCGAAATGGCTTGTCGAATATCATATGAATATTTCATTACGAGCAAAATCACGATTTAATAAGAAGTAAGTACTTAATGAGAAAAGTATGAATGAGACCAAAGTTAGAAAGTTCCCCTTAAAGTCGTAATGCACATAAAAATTGAGATATTGTGTTTGTTTTGTTGGATGATTTCTGGTAATATGAGGACGAAGGGCGAAAAGTTGTCAATGCGCAATCTGAGGAGGGTAATATGGGGAATGAATGCATGGTTTATGCAGAGGTGCCATTACATTATTATTGTGATGAGGAGTGGGATTGGATTGAATCGGATAAGAATAATGGGCTTGGAATTTTTTGCCTTTCACTCCTCGGCCAACACCACCAAAGCAACAAGGAAACCCATTACGTCGGAGACAGATTTCGGTTTAGGTTTGTTGGCCGGATTTGGTGCGGTTGGTTGGTGTGATCTGTCCGTGATGATATAATACACAACCATTGCTGCACCCACCACCGTCGCTGAAGAATTGTGATGTAGTGGTTTTCCTCGCTGGGAGAAAGAAAAGATGATGGGATCGGATCGACGGGCACCAAACTACCATGAGCCATATAAATACGTGTATGGATGTGGTTAGATGCACATACATGCTACTGCGAGAGTGAGCTGTGAGTGAGCATCCCGGGATTTAGGATTGGATAAGGAAAAGGGAATTATAATAACATAACTGGGAAGATAAAAGGCGACTCTAAAAGGATGGAACAACTCCAAGGAAAGGTGGAAGGGGTCCAAAAAATATCATTTTCTTTCAACATCATCGCTATTCTTCTCCCTCGTACTGATTTCCATTCTCACTACACGTAGTCATGCATACAATGAGAAAATCCGTCGGATAAGCGAAAGTCAAATTGCACTTTTTGCTGTTACAATAATTCATGGATACAACTGATTGATTAGTGGTCAAAATAATTGGCAATCTCACTTTTTCCGGCAATATCAGAATGAGATTAGGGATAACGAATAAAGATGAGAATCCTAGTTTTCAATGTACGAAAACGGTTCAATTATTGATAATTCAATGAATTTATATGATGAATATTTTCAATGCGGATATTAGTATGCATCTTATTTAATGACGATTGAGGATAAGTCGAGCGAAATAATTCATTGACTGTGGGCCGCTTGTGAAGATCCCCATCGTGTAGAAATCCTAATATCTCTGTTCAAAAGAGAGGAGGTGGTGAGACTCTGTAAGAGAAAGAGCCCAACTCTCACTCAAAGAGCAGACCTCGTTGTATACGTTTTGTTACGTACCACAGTCTCATTCATGGTTCGGACCAGTTGTGCTGGGCTCTTGTGCAGTGAAGCACGTTTTTGCTCACCACTCACAAATTCGGCTTTGATTTTACAACCACCACGTGTCTAACTGAACAAAGTGAAAGTTTCCCTAAAACAGCAGCAAACCTTACTTCCTTGATAACTTTATAAAAAATTAAAACAGTGAATGTTAAAACAGTTGGTTGTCCAGATATTGGATGGAGTAGCATGAGGTTGAAGAATCCAAAGTGTTTCATCTCAAGAAATGTCAAAGCCAGTGATGGTACTATTTTAAACTGTCGTAACCATTCTGAATTTAAGCTTCAGGATAATTTAGTGCTTGACATGGATATCAAAGACATATTCATGAGAAATACAGATCCAAATAATGAGATTTCCGGTGGTGGAGGAGGTGATAAATATTCAGGTAAGAGTAATATGAGAACACTTTAGGTTGCTACATTGGCATTTCGTTGTCGTTGTTGATTTTATCCATGATCCAGTCTTGCTAAACTGCATTCCATACTTAGGCTTATGTGTCTGACATTGGTCTCATGTGAACACTGGGCACACTGAACAAATATTAAATATCAAGTTGTTAATTTGATATCTGGTAAATAACAGCAGGAAGAAATCAATCAATATAGTCAGCTCAAGTTGTATGTGACATTTTGATTGTTCATATGATCGAGTTAATCCCAAAATGACTGATAAATAAGATAAATAGGATAAATAGGATAGGATTCAGCAAGTTCATATGGTATGCATGGAATGAATCCGACTATACATTTTGGATTTCATTTTCAGACCAAAGCTAACTAATAATGCAACATCAAATTACGGATTGGTATTTATTTCGCAATTAATATTCGCAAGTATATAACTATTAAGTGTGTAAGGAAATAGAGGGCATTTAGAATTTTTGACACATCCTTAGTATAATTTGCATACATATGTATATATCTACGTCTACGTATGTGGATATTAGAACTTATAGTTAACCTTTTCAACCTTTGAAATTGGATAACAATAAAATTCAAATTGTTTGTTGGCGACACAAGTCTTGCAGTAATGCGTAATGAGTCGCAGTTTAAACTACATAATCTCTTTCACAGATGACGAGTTTCAATAATACTTCTCGAGAACAATGGCATACTTTCCGTAAACATTTATAAGAAACCATTGTTTATTGTTCGGTGATACTTTGACTGTGCTGCTAATAAGCTATCACGATGCTACGATATGCTCTATTCTTAAAATTCAGATTAATGAGAATGAACTCTAATAATGGAGCACATTTAGAATTTTTAAAAGTGACTCATAACAAGCAACACATAGGCAGACAAAGCTGTTAAACATGATATGCGGTTATATAAAAAGAAAATACTTTGAGATTCGAGCAACAATGCAGATGGCAAATCTATTCATGTGTTCACTTTGTTAGCAAAAATGGATATGACGTCGTCGTCATATTATGAAAGAAGGAAGGAAGGAACTTTAGTCTTGATCAGATCCGTCCGCGAGAATAAGGCTTTCAATTTAAATCGCGTGTGAGACTTGGGAGAAAATCTGGAGAAAGGTGACGGCGCTAAGGAATGTTCTCAGAGGATCTTTCTGGATCTGGATTTTCTTGACTGAACTCTGTTGTTGCTCGTATTCCATTTTTTTATCCGCTGGAAATGCAATGCTAGAGAACTGAAATGCATTGCACTGACACAAAGATCCATCCAGTTTTATTTGGAAGGAGTTTTAGGTTGGAGACGTGTGTGTGGGGGGTTTGAGAAGGATAGAGGGAGAGCAAGAGAGAGAGAGGACGGTATAATCTTTATTAGACTTTGGAAGATTGGCAAGGCGGAGGGGTTTAGGATTTGGGACTCTCCTAAGCTCCGGATTTAGATTCATCAATCACGGGAGATAATCTTCTTATTTCTTGCTTCCCTCCCGAACACACACTTGGGAGAGAACAACTGCCTCTCAGAGGAAGCTATATATATAAATTCTATATGCGTATTATTTATACTTTTGCCCCTCTTATTACCAACAACCAGCATCAGTGGTAGTACCCTAACATGACCCTAACTGCGCCATACCCACGAATGAGTTCCACCAATCTAGGAGGATAAAAATTCATTTGGAAATCCCAGACATTGCTGACTAGCGTACACAATTGTGCAGGATTTCAAAAATTCCTGACCCAATGTAATGATTTTCTCAATTTTGTATTGATCTGTGAAATGACTTTTGAACACACAAACACTAATTCCTATCCGCATACATGCATTACTTTTCTCACACGAAGAACATTATGAAAGTATGACATGAACCGTGGTTTGGTGGGCAGCAGCAAAAGTCGGAACAATGGCATCAATATTCGGTGACTCTGACAATTGCGGGGTGGTTGCTTGCTAGTTGGTGGAGTATCTGGTAGTAAGTTCTGTGAAAGACGAAGGAGAGATTGGATAGGAGGGAGAAAGGATCAAAAAGGGGACAAGAAATCCCCATAGCACAACTTCATCCGTCTCCTTGTATATGAGGATTTAGCAGCTATAAGTCTGGAGAAAAGGTTGAAATCCCTCCGTTTACTTATCTATATCCTCCCTGCTCTCCTCTCTCTATTAGTTCAAAAAAGAGAATAAGTAGCATTAGCAAAGTTGAAGCTGAATCTGCCAGTCTCATCCCGTCCTCCTCGTCCCACAACATCCTTACGTAATTCTTTCCACGGAAGAAGAAGAAGAAGAGTGCTTCTTTGCCTCCGTCTCGATAAGTCCACGCCACCACCACCATCACCACGAAGGACGGCCGGTGAAATCCTCATCCCTCTCCTGAGCCAGCTTCAATCCGGGAATTTCTTCTCTCTCTCTCTCCAGCAGCCAATGTGTCTGGCCTGGAGCTCTTCTAAAGAGTTCTTACTCTAATCCCTTTTCGTCAACTAATCCGTAAAACTATAATCTACTTCCTCCTCGCTTTTCTCCTCCCGGTTCTCCTATGCTCCACACAACCACGGGTAGTTCATACAAGTCGATGGTGGTATAAACTTGCCGTCAGGCTCATCTATCTCTCTTCCTCTCTATCTCCCTGCTAACAAGCCACCACGCCACGCGGCTAAGATGTTGATGTCCATGCTTTGCTTTCCTCCGAAATCCTCCTCCTTTCCTTCGCTCTCTCATCAGCCCAACTATTTTAATCCCCTTCCAACCTGTATCTCTCATCCGGAGAAGTCTATTCTTCGGCAAATACCTACGGCTCAGCCCGGCTTAGATCCCTTCCCCACCAGCACCAACAAGAAGCATAGGAAGCAACCAACAACCTGCTCATCCGATTCTGTCCTCAATTCCAATATCTCAATTCACACAATCCCTTTCACTACCACTTCCCACTCAAAATCTAACAACTTTGTCAAGGCTCCAAACGCCGTCGATAAGCTAAGACCAACTTCATCATTTGGTTATTCATTCTTCACAATTTATTAAAGCAAAAAACAGGAAATCGGAAACTTGATTTCATTTTTGCCTTTTAATGTATTATGCCACTAAAAATATTAACAGGGATAAAATTGCATATGAAAATGTCATTTGAAATTTGGTGCGGGTCAAATGAGATTTTGTGTATGTAATCCTGCGTCTCAAATTATCAGGAGCTATTGTACTTCTTTGTGCACTCCAATCTCAGAATTTCATCAAGTTATTAAGCAGAAAACCAGATTCTCGTATAAAGATCCAGTGCGTACATTTGTACGCGTTTGTGAATGACGTCATGCTTGATTTGAAAACTAAAAATGCCGACTACTACAAATAGTAGTAGGATTTCAGAGTTAAAAGTTATGAAATATCATATGGGGCGCAGTGAGACTCCACAAAAATTCAGAACGAATTACTATCGTAGTAAGTCATGAAAATTTGTGGAAGCTATGGTGATGGGATGGAGTCAAGAGGTCACTGGTTTTCCATTCTTCTTCTCTCATAGCCAGTCACTCCCAAGTTCTCTCGCAAATCTCAGCTCTCCATATCTCTCCATCGGCTGGTCTTCTTAGGACTCCGACCCATATTTTTCACCAACCCCACCCATATTAGCCCAAAGTCACAAGTCTATAATTTCCGAAATCCAACAACAAGCTGGTTTTCACAATTTGCAGTTGTAAATAGAAAGGAAAGATATAGATATTTTTTAACCTTCTAGCTTGTGAATCTTCCAAATTGCAAATACAGTTTTTGCCTTTTCTGTGTTCAATTTTATAGCTTTTTGGAATTTGAGTGTAAAATAATGGATAAGAGCAATACAAGTTTGGAGGTCATCGAGCCTGTTGTCGTACGAAAATGGCCAGCTCACTATGGCTCAATAAGGGATGCATTCAGCAACTTTATGGAAAACGATGTATTCTCGGACGTGTCTGTATTCTGTGATTCCTTTCCTTTTCGCTTGCATCGGGTCATTCTGGCTGCAGGATCGGAATACTTTGAATACGTGTTTACAGAAATGTGCATCTCAACCTCAGATGCAGTGGTCATCATCTTCAAAATCCGTCGAGAGATATTTCGCTACATTATTGACTACATTTATAAAGGAAAGGTCACTATTAAATTGAGCGATTCAAAAGAATTTGAAGACGCAGTTGCCGAGTTGAAAATTCGTGGCAATGGTTGTATTGCATCAACCTGGATAAGCGATGTGTGTCCTAGTGACTTTTTGTGCGTGTCTGTTGACAACGAGGACGAAGGTATGATGACAGCGAGAGAGCAAAGTTCTTAATTCACAATCAAAGTTCATGAATAATTATTGTATTAACGATTTAGACGACTTCAAACCTACGTCAAAACCGAAGGGTTTAGGAAAGCCCTCGGCAGGTCGAGGCGGAGTTTCAGCTTGCGCGACATTTAATAACAGTACAACGTCACTAAATACCTTTTATTGTTGTGTAAAATAATTTATATGTTCAGATTTTTAATACTGTATTATAGCCGTGTCAAAGGTGTTGAAAGAGCGAAATAGCATGGTTCAATTCGATGGTGTGTCTGGAAACAAAAATGGAAACGGATCTATAATCAAGAAACGTAGAGCCAAATCGGACTCCGCGAAATCAACAACTTTTACAACACCTCAACCTCCTCCTCCAAAGCGTAGGAGGGGACCCCGACCTCGACAAATGGACGATAATAACCCAGAAAGTGTTTTGGGCGACATTTTAGACACGGTTTGTAGCGGTTCTGACAAATTCGAGGATGTTGATGGTCTAGTACAGGGTCTGGTATCCGAATACCAGAAAATTGTAGATTGTGAGTATGCTTGCCAATCAAGAAGGATTCTGTTAAATTAAGATAAACTAATTGGTTGATTATTATGGAACTAATTTAGCAAAAAATGCTCGTAAGCCAAAATCTGCGCGGAAGCCTGTGTCAGAAGAACATGAGAAACAGAAGACCGACTTTGAACAATCGTTGACTAATGCAGCACAGGATGTAATAGACAAGCTACTTCTCATTGACGAAGCAGCTGCTCTTTATGGAGTATCAATTTCTGGAATACGCAGACGCATGAAAGTTTTAAAGACAGCATCCCCCGAAGACGCTAAAACCGTGTCACCTAATTTCGTTAATCCCGAAAATGTTAAAACCTCAGCACTTGGAGAAGATAACGAAATATGCAAAGGGACTTCACAAAGAGAGGACTCTGATTGCAACGTTCTGATCGATTCGAGCAGAATCGACGAAATTATCCAGGAAGGAGGAACAACTAATCAAGAAGAAGATGAAGAAAACATTGAGGAAATTTAAAACCACATGAACACTTTAGATAGGTTAAATAGATGAAGTCTGTTAAAATGGTCCCAGTTTTCTTCACATATGTATATATTTGTTAAATTTTATCAAAATGTGTAGCATGTTGCGTCATTGTTTTGTATTTTTCTCGGATGAATGAAAATACTATTTATTCGTTATGTAAGCTTATCGATATACATATGTTTGAATTTCGTGTTTTTATATGTAAGTTATCAGGCTGGTATATTTACGTATTTGTAAACCTTGTATGATGGCCTGTCATTTAGTTTCTAAATGAAATTGTTTACCAAATTGTTCTAATTTAATTGTGTAGCGTTATAATTTTATGGGTAGCTATGTACATATATACAGAACTTCATAATTTCTTTTCATGAGTGTCTGTCTGCTAGATTGACTATGTATGATCCTGACATAAGTACATAGGTATATCGTACGTACGTATAACGTCATCTGCATATTTAGTGCACTCGTAGGACGAGGATTAGAAATTCTGGTTTCATCATGAACGAGGTGGATTAGACGGGACGAGGAAAGTTTTTTACATGGATTCTGAGGGATAACTATTTTGGTTTTGCTAGTCAACTAGCGACGCAGCTCTACAAAAAAAAGTTACGCCGAGGAGAAAGAGTTGTATTGAAATTAATGTACATTGTTTGAAGTTTTCTCTCGACCTTATGTCCTATATAAATACTACTACTGGATGTCTTGCGTGGGGATTTACTTGGTTGGGTTTTTGGCATGGGTAGCATATTTGGTGCTTGTTGTGGTTGGTGAGTGAGTGAGAAGGTGATAGCGGCGGTGAAAGTAGTTCGGAAATCAGAATTAGCTCCTAAGCCATTCCCAGAGCTGTTGTTGCGAGTGGAAGGATGCAAACTGTCTCATCTCTCATTTCCATTCCATTATACTTTTTAAGCCAGAAATATCTGCTGGGAATTTAGTTTCTCCTAAATACCGACGACATTCTCATTTTTTTCTCGCTTCATTGCTAAGCCCGGAATCTGGAATTTTGCTCGTCCTCTTTTTTCACCAGATCTGGATTTGCGCCTAACTTGTGGGGATTTGTTAACCTAATTGGTTCCCTCTTAAATTTATGTTACACTAAATGTTGTTACCGCCCAGTTTGTCATCAAGGAGTTCTCGACTTTTAGTAGACTAGTAAAAAAAAGTTCTGCATGTAAATCCACCAAGGATTTACCAATAAATGAAAAACCTGGCACTGCTTCTGAGAAAAATTATACCAAATTACTCCAGTCCCACTAAATTGACCCCTCCTCTGGTTGTGCACAATATAAATATCTAACGTAATCTCCCATGAGTTGTGTTTTCTCGTCTTGTCATTTTCAAAAAAATGACATCGCATAACCCTTTGACCATTTTTGGTTTATTGCTTACTTTCCCACCCCAACAACCCTACCACAACTGACTCATAGCGAGTGAGGGGATAATGGAGTGGTTCATAAGTAAAAGAGACTTTTATTTAATTTCTCTCCAAGCTACAAGTTAACTCGGCCCGTTGTGTCGCATTTGTCTCATCTTTTCAAAATCATTGCGGTCGCATTATCAAAACCACCTCAAGCCAGAGATTACCTCCTCTGAGACTGCACGATTTGATTTAACAATACAGATGGACAGAGAATGAGACATGTTAAAGCATGTCGGGGGTGGTAGAACGGGAGCAATGATTTCAGAATTCCCTCAAGTCAGGAAAACTTGTACAATTTTCTTCAAGAAGCCAGAATCATCGTTTTTCTTAATAAAATTTTATTTTTATATATCTTGACATCATTGCAAACACGTATCTCTCTTGTCATGCCACTCTTCATGACGAAAGTCTGATACGATTGACCTCACCAACCACTGGAAGTGGTGGTAACTTTGCTTGCCACAAAACTCTGAACGACAGATTCAAACACAATTCTACTGGTTGAGATGGAGTTAGAGATATCACTTCCCTTAAAAACCTACAGTTCAACTCTTCTACGCCCGAACCAGACGAACCTAATTTTAAAATATTAATATAATTAATGGTTCGTAAATATAATCATTGCTCCAAGCTCATCTTGTACACGATGGAACACGTACTTTTAATAACTAGCTTCATGCAATTCCCTACTTTTGCAAATACCCGATTCATCGTTGGCAGCTCAAAAGTCGGCGGCAGGGTCATGTTATGGGCATAATTTTCGATATTATTTTCCTACCTCGATTGACATTGGATACCGAATTTCCAAGACTATTTTGAATATTGTTTTTAATACCCACCCACAGGCCACAATGACCCCCACCAGTCTCCAAAGGACTGATTTTGCTCTTCTTTAAGCTCAATTTCTACATTGACTCATTCGATATGTGCGAAAAATTGTAACTCGGCAGGATAAAGTTAAAGAGAGTTATTGACAGACACACATGATGATGTTTCCGTAAGTCTTTGGTTGGGCTAAAAAGTCAAGTTCTCAATTATCCTTCTGTGGACTTCTTGATACGTTTGAGTTGGCGTTTAATTAAAGTGAAAATGGTTACTGCTTTTTGATATACACATTTTAAAATCTGCTATCATGATAGTGAAAATTTAATTTCCTGATTGCGTTGACATTGTTGGTTTCCTTACAGGAAAGTCTCTGCCAATCCATTGTGTGATCGAGGTGATTGACAAGGAGGCTGAGAACTGTTTGGGCCGTGGGAGCGGTCCTTCTTCCTCTGGAGGTGACAACAATAATGGGGCTCGAGGTGGAGATAAGACAGCGTCTGGGAAAAGTGAGACTTGTGGAAGTGGCATTGGCAACCCTGCCAATAGTGGTGGTGCTGGTACGTGGCCTTATCTGTCCCTAACTTGATGACGACAACATTGAAAAGTCCAACCAAATTCTAAACTCAACGTTTCCGTTATTTCCCATCCATCTACAGGTTCGCTTCACGCTGGTGGAGTGAAAATCGTGGAAGTTGATGATTTTGTCATCATTCCGGTCGGGACCCCTTTTCAAGACGTTGTTATAACTGTTCTCACTCTTTTGGGCTATCCTAAAGACGTCATACAACAAGCAGAAGGTAGTTTATATAATAAGCTTGACTAACAAGAAATGAAAGTGAAAATTCGTATCGAGTCGCTATACTAAAAAGATAAGTACGTATGTTAGTTATTTATTTGGGTAATTTGGTTGTATGCAGGGTCAATTCTGCTAAAGAATTGGAAACCCTTAAGATTGGATCAAGTGTGTGACTCGCCCCATAAAACAGTCGGAGACATTCTCAATGACCTCACGAATCATGTTACACTCCAAGTTCTAGTCACCAGGTGAGCGATATTTTCCTAAATTTTGCGCCTGATTGATTATATGTTGGGTTGGAAATGATGATGGGAAAATGGTGCCCCAACTTTAAGGGCACTTGTTGAATTACCCAATTATGTTAAAGAAATAATAAAGAAATAATTCCCCATGTTGGATATACACAACAAAATTATATTTAACTTTACTTGTTACACAGACCCAAAGGAGGACCTGCTGAAGATCTGAAGGAAAAGTTACTCCGATTGCTGCTCGCTCAGTCTTCAAACATTCTCATGGGATCGGGCTGTCCATTAGATGAGGTAATTTCTTCCTTTTCATACATGTTTTTTTTATATTCATCGAGCAAGCGTTACATTATTTCTTCCAATGTCCGGAAATAGCTTTGATTATATAATTTTAAATCTTTGTGTAAGTTTAGTAGTTCAAATGGAATAATTATGCAGGGAAAGTCTGTACGCATCCTTCCTCGTGAAAGAAGGAGAGGAGAAATCACGTCAAAAGTTGGAGAATATTTGGTAAACGCTTCGGTCGGATGATTTCTTCTCACCTTTTGTTAAAAGGATTAAGACGCACGAGGTTTAACTCGAGCGAGAGAGAAAAGGGAGCTCAATTTTCAAGTCATATTTAAATTCAATTCATTCATAACTTGATCCGACCTCAGCGCAACTCGAGCATGAACATAAAACCAACCAACCAACCAAGCCTTGTGCACAAAATAACTTCTTTTGCCTTGCACTCGTCCTCGTCTTGCCGACCTTATCTCAGTCTCAGTCTTATATTTAGTGGTAAATGAGAAATGACAAATCAACTGCTGTTTTCTGCTCGAGTTGAGCATGGGCTAAGGCGTATGCATGGGATATACAGTAACGAATTTAAAATTTGAATGCATCACGAGCTAATACCTTTCTTTAATAACTGTTCTTGAGGTTAAACACCATATTGTTTGGTGTTGGTGTGGATGTTAAATAAGCTTTTGAACGAAAACAATGCCTACCAAGCAGGTTTGAAAACTGAGAGATGATGGTGAGGCTGCTGCCTCAACTCCCTGAGAAAGAGTACTTATCTCCTCCTCTTTCCACCACGGTCATTGTTGGTCATGAATCGAGAGGAGGGAAGAATAAGAGATCAAGAGAAGATTAAAAATAGCATGAGATGTTGCTGCTTCTCCTGCATGTACCAAAGTTCCTATGTACGAACCACACTGCGACGACTACTCCTGTTTATTCATCGTCTCTCTCTCTCTCTCCTGAGCAGAAGGACGATTTTAATAAGTTACATTGTGATTTTAAAAGAGTATCGAAAGGATTTATTCTAAATGTTTCGCTTGGTTCAAAACAGACACAAAAACGAGCTTAATTTCTTCTTGATTCTTGCAACAAGAAATAATAATTTATGAGTTGAGGTTGAGTTAGCCAGATTACAGAGGACGAGAGAAGGGATTAATCCTACTTCTCTATTGATTGATGATTTCGAATCATGAAAACGAATAATGTGATGAATCTTTCTCAAATTCGAGTGAGTACTTGTTGTTCAGCATCATCCCCTCTCATAAAGATCTCATCTTGGTCGTCGTCGTCGTCAGTAGCTTAATTTCATTTATTTGACGTTCTCAATCTCAACTTGTTCCGTGCACCCGTGATATGCGTATAGGCGTACATGTGTACGAATGAATAGGGAGAGGTAACCAATCTTATACTTGCACAAGTTTCCAATTGTAGTTCAAAGTGTAACTAGTTTTGTACTTAATTCCAAGTTTGATTCTGATTTTTCATCTGTAATCTCTTCAAAGGTTCATTTTATTCTCTTTCACTCGCTGGCTGACGAGCCTCCCCGTGAAACCCTGAGCTAAATGGAGGAGTTGAGATGAATAAAGGACAACTCATCCTCTCATCTCTTTCATTTCATGTTTTGTACTTCTTGGTATTTGTCTGTTGAGTGAATTTAGAATTGTGACCCCTTTTATTGCAAGTACAGTAGTGGATGAGTGAGTATCACACTGTTGCTCTAGATGTACATGCACGTATCCCCGCTTTTACCTATGTATTTACTGACACATTGCAATCAAAGGAAAGGGTTTCAAGTATTACGAAACTAATCACATTACATACGCACAGTTGACGAGGAAGTAGCAAATTCTTTACTTTTGTCAAAAACTTCCTTCCGATTAATGGATAATGTAATGCTGAGTGGATAATTAAAAAAGAGAAAGCGATTGTTTTCCGAGAACCTGGTTGGTACATAAATAGTGATTTAAATTGGAATTTGCTCTCTGTCCATACGTAGGCAACCTTAGGCCAGTTGGTGAAGGGTCAGTGGCCACAAAATTTGGCGGAAGATGTCAAGCGACGATTTGACCAGTGGTACTCTGTTCATCAGCAAAAGTTAGCGATGGGATCGGAACAGACGCACCCAGCGCTTAGTCACAGTCACCACTCGACCTCGAACTCCCATCAGATCCTCTCAGGAAGCAATGGGAACAACCGTGGCTCACCCACCAATTTATCAGTCAACTCATCATCATCCCATCAACACAGTCATTTGGTCAATGGGTCTTCGATCGTCTCCTCGGTACGCCATCATCTTTTAGATAAGACCGCGTATGAAGAAGATAACCACGCTGGTCATCCGGTATTCCATGGTTTGACCACACAAAAAACAAGGATGCGAACCAGCTTTGATCCAGAGATGGAAATACCCAGGCTGCAACACTGGTTTTCAGAAAACCCACATCCATCGAGGCATCAGGTATTTTTTAAAAATTAAGTTTTGTATAAAAATATTCTGGTGAAAGTCACCAGATGGATCATCATATCATTTCCACACACCAAAGGATTTCCTCGATCCGGTTTCTTCAAATTAATTCATCTGTTACAGATTCAGCAGTACGTGCGTGAACTCAATACACTAGATTGTCGCAAGGATAGGAAACCTCTTGATCTCAATAATGTCATATATTGGTTTAAAAATTCAAGAGCATCCTTTAAAAGCAAGTTGAAGACATTTTTGAACGTTTTTGACAATGGATACGTTGAATATCCAGTAGTTCGTAACTAATTAAAATGTATGCATGTTTAGGAAACGAGCTGCGATATAATGGATACTCCCCAAATCAGAGCTTTTCCCATCTCCACTCTCAAAATTCAGGTTCGAACCCTCGTCGTCACGGGGAGGACAACAAAGGCGATGTTCAGTTGCACTCTGGAGACCGTGACGAGCGAGACTTTAGCAACGAAAACTCTGGCAGCAATTGCCGGGACTCTTGCGATGACCATGATCAAGATATGAAGGAATACCATAGGGTGGAGATGGATGGGGACAATGATGAGAGTGAAGAGAGAGCAGATAATCAGAGAGAGTCCATTAGCAAGAGAAATGAAGAATGCGGTGGTGTTGGAGAGAATGAGGAGGAAGAGGACGAGATAAAAGTGGTGATCAAAGAGGAAATACAAGATGAGGACTTTATTAGCGTGGATGTGGAACTCTCCGAAGGCACGGGGGGCAATTTGAATCTTACTCCTCACCAAAGTCCAGGTAGTGGTGGTGGAGGTGGTGGAAGTGGTGAAGAAGAGGGTGGAGAAAGTTGCAACAACAATGAGCAACCTAAAGACCTGAGTTCTGGGAAGCCCCAGCAAAACCAAGAAAAGAACGTTCCACTCAAGAAAAATGAGGAACATGATAAAAAAGAGTCCTCGACTCCCATAGTCTCAAAATCCCGTCATCTACGCCAGCAGCAAATGGAGCAGCAACATCAGCAGCAAGAGCACGAGGGTGAAAGTAACTCCAGCTCACCCTCGGTATCTCCAGCTCCTAGTTCACCAGGAATGTCGCCCAACCATCCGTATGATTTCTCTGCTCCCTCCATGGTCAGCCGATTTCATCCCTTCTTCGACCATCACTTCATGGCTTACCGACACTTTAATTCCTTCAACTTTGGGCAAAATTTCCCTGGCTCAAATGGCCCCGAAGGACATCACAGTCCATCTGGATATGAGTCCGCAATGGGGTTGGTGGGACGAAAGATTTCTCCAGGCAAACCATCCCCAGGAATGGAAGCCGCGTTCCATGATTTTCAGAATGGAGTACCAATGGTCCAATCTAGAGGGGCGAGCGGAGGTGGGGGGTCCATGGTTGGTGGTTCCACTGCTGGAGATCACATGTCCCGCATCCGGGGTGAGGACTTGTTTGCAGCCAGATCAGCCTCCAGTGCAGAGCTAATTTCCTCAATTATCAACTCAAATCGGGGAGACTTGGGCCTAAGTCCTCTAAATTTAGGAAGCCATCATCAAAACCCAAACTCACTAGCGCTGGACGAACGAAGAAAGCGAAATAGAACTTTCATCGATCCTGTGACAGAGGTACCTCGCCTCGAACAGGTATTATAAATAGCAAATTTCTTCCATGTTCTATTATTCCCGGTCGCATGAAAATAAGGAAAGGACATTGATATATGATGAGAAATTGAAATTTTTGAAATTTTTTGACAGTGGTTCGCCCTCAATACTCATCCCAGCCACAACCTGATCCTAAAATACACGGAAGAACTCAATAGAATGCCGTAAGTTTGCTAATGCTCCTCAATTCCTCAATTCTTGGACGGTAATGACGTTTATGTATTCATTTATTTGTGTCATACAGGTATAGACAAAAGTTTCCCAAGCTCGAACCGAAGAATGTTCAATTTTGGATGAAAAATCGCAGGGCAAAATGCAAGAGGTTAAAAATGACGCTGTAAATTAGGTCACAGCAACATCAAAATTGTTCTCGCTTTGATAATTGTAGTTTATGTAGCCGTAATTTTTATCCATTCCATACAATCCAAAGATCGAATATTGAAATAATTTAATTTTAGTAATCTAAAAAATGATAACCTACCTCACACTTTGAACTCGTAATGTACTTTTACTCAGGGATGAATGTCGTGCACAAGTTATTATTACAATTCAGTATTGCTCTCGTACAATCTCGATGGAATGGAAAATGAGCGAGTCACTTAATAAAATAATGCAACGTTATGTATAATCAAAAAAGTTAGGCTAACGAGTGGTAGTTTTTTTCAATAATACATATATTTACCAAAGTATAAGCTAAATGTGTTTTAAACCTTCCTGTTTGAACCAAAGATTACTTATGAAAATAAATCAACCTTTATTTGATCATTCTCTCCTTCTCTCTACACACGTGCATTTAAATCAGCAATGTTTTCACGTCATGTCTCACACTATGCATATACATATTACGTAGTATATGCATTACCAATGGACACTGGGCACTGCATTTCATTCCAACCAAGGGGAGTAATTAGAGAAAGAAACACTTTGGAAGGCATGCATAATAAAATCAGTTCGCCTCCATTTTTGTCGTGAAAACCAAAGCACTTATCCCGACGATCTCTAAAACCCATTTAACGTATTATTTCGTAATTCCGACAAGAATATGAGCAAGTCGAGCTGAATGAAATAAAAATATCATCCTTTCTCTCCGGACTGCATGCATATTTGAGTCGTGTTCGTATTTTCCACAATTCCCCATTACTCATTTTTCACACGGGCAGGCAGGCAGGCGGATGGAGGAGGCGAGAAAGAATTAAAGTTAAAATTCATAATGAAGATCTGGAGAGATAATTCTTTCTGCTTGGCTCTACTTGCTTAAATTACATTACGTGACAAGAAAATGTGGACCTTTTCGAACAATCTCTCTCGGCTTCTGCTCTCCAGTTAGTGGTTGGCTCCTTGGTGTCAGTAAAGCAAGCATTTATTTTCGCATCCACCACAGCCACGAGGAAAAGACTCGAAATTACGAGATCCGATTTTTCTCAAAGTCAAGTCAGCCTCTAAAGTCGGACGAATTATGACCTGATAGAAATATGGATAGAGCTGATAACACTTCTTTGGAGAAAGTGTCGCATTTAGTCGCCATTACTGAGACTGAGGCTGTTGGGCTGCGGTTTATGAACTGGTTTAACCATACGCAAAATGATATAGCTTATTCTCTCCTCTATCCTATCTCCACTTGCTCTTCGATGTGCGATGATGATAATGTGCGAGTGATATAATGGAGCAAGAAAATGAAAATGTTCCTAAAGTTATCCTCCTCAGTTAGTTGAGAAGATGGAATGATACGTAGGATCCAACTTTCACCGAGAGTAAAAAAAAGTTGGACCGCGCTATCCAGTCCATCGGACCTCTCCCATGTACACATCCGTGCTCACGTTTATTGGTTTATTCGAAAATAATACAGTACAAATATTGTCCACAATTGTCACCAGAAAGGACATATTTAGATACGTGTTTAAAACCGTAAATGGGTCCAACCTGCAACACAGCCCATGGTGCGAGAGAAAGTGCTTACGGACCCTTTCACACACGCGGATATGTTATAAGATGGTGGTTTTGTAATAATAAATAAAAAGTCGAAATGAATTTGAGAGAGGAACTCGGAATATGCAGTGTTGAAGATTGTTGGGCGAGAGGAAGGAAAGAAAGAATAAGTTGGTTCAGCCAGTAGTGACTGCAATATTTCATTACGTATAGATTGTCTAATCCTTTTTCCGAGATTTGGAAAGTGTAGAGGCTGAAAGTAGTCGAAAATGACAGAATTATGACTCGCAACTTTTTTCGAAGGGGAAAAACGCTTTACAAAGACTTATCTGTATAAAATATGACACGCTTTCATGAATCTTATTAAGATATGAACTTCAGTTTTTTTCTCCTTCTCAGCGCGAAAGCGACATCCTTTCTAAGCTTCGACTTTTGCTGCGACTTATATACGCAAGAAACCGCCTAGTAAAAACCAACCATTAAACAACCGGACTAGATCCATTCTTGCATTCTTGCCCAATTCCATGTATGACGCTTTTGCATTCTTTGTGTTCCACGTGATATACATAGTTAGAACAAGGTAAGTTTGTATTGGTGTACTTTTTCTTGATAGTGCACAAATCAATAGTTCCATAATCGTAATACTGTCCACACATTTATTATGAAAAATTTAGTAAAATATTTGTAGAATTATACAATTTTTAATAAGAAGTATGTAGGTCTAGTTTGCTCTCCTGCTGAGCATATAACCTTTGGGAAACTTGCTCATTATTGTCCTCTGACAATCCAATGTAGACAAGAATGAAGTGGAAACTGGTTTCAGGAGAAAGGAAGCTGAAGGGAGAAAGTGAGAAAAGAGGGCCAAATGTGGCAGTGGCTTCTCCCCCACTCATCATATTACATTACATGGCATTACATTATTATGATGATGACTTTTCCACAAGCCGGCTAAGCAGGAGCCGTGCTCCAGATAAAGTCAAATCTCACCCAAAATTATTGCCCAGCGGAAAAAATAGGAAAAAAGTGCTCCTTATTATTCTGCAGAAGTCTTGTTCACAGCCATGTATTTACTTATGGGGAGAAAGTTTATTTCTTTATTCAATCCTAAAGATGTACTCCTTTTACCGAACGCAAGTAATTGTATCCAAATTAATTTGATTAGTTCAATTGCAAGTTTTTTAGCCAGTTGATTAACATCGAGTGCGCTATACGTTTTGCCAATAATTTTAGGAGAATTTTCTAAAGAGTGAATTTACAAATAAAGTAATAGTACGAATGTTGGATATGGCCAGGAGTACAGTGTCAGTAATCTGGTGGAACCCTTGAGGCGAGACTCGTACGGAGATAAATGTTTGATTTAATAAGAGGACTGGAGTCAAGGTGGGAGACGCAGCATCCGACCGACGTGTATAGCTCCACTTTGTATCCATTTATTCGATTTCTTTAATAGCCATATTTCTCCGATATCACTTATTATTACGGACACAGTTATCGTTCCCCAGCCGCGAACTGCTTATTGAGTCATTGCTTTGCTAAGGCATATCGTTAAGAAGGATTTTTCTCTCGGCCAGGCCAAGGCAGACCCAACTTCCGGGGATTCACCCATATCATCAAGAAAGCATTTAGGCTTATTTCAATCCTCGAATACTTCGAATTGAATTCTCGATTTCTGCTCCGTTTCCCATGCCCTCCTGACTCTCTCCACGGCTAAGTAGATTTTTTGGATGGAAACAGTTTTCAGATTTGAGACATTTAGCAGCGGATGAATCATGGTAATACCGTAATAAAGTCAGTCAGCTATCCTTATCAGTTTCAGCCCCTTCACACCCAGTAAATTACTTTCAGCGTATCATTTTCCCCCAGAAGAGTCGACAACGTCTCGTCTGAGGCTTCCATAATTTAATAATTAATTCAGATGGCAAAAATATCCGAGAATAGAAAAAAATCCTTGAGTTACCAGGAACGAACTCCTTCATTTTCTGCATATATTTATTTATCATGTGAATGTGTGAATTTTTGAGTCGAATTGTCTTGATTTTATAGACAAACCATGTTTTTCTGTGTAATACATCGTAATGAGTTGGCGATCATCCAACACTCTAGTTTACATACTTTGAATAAATCTCATTCTTTACTTTCAATTCACATGTATGTAAGAAAAATCTGTCATAAAAATCTGCAGAAATGAAAAGTGTGAAATTATAAATGCATGTGTCATCCCAGGTCTAGAGAAATGTTAGGCAACTACCCCAAAGATGTCTGGAAGGCTTATGTATTTCGCATACATAGAAATTGATACATTTAGGTTGGAAGCTACGTAAACATTGTTTGTAACGCACCAAATTTTGAAACAATGAAAAATTTATGACAAAATATTTTGGTGCGTCTCCGTTGTAAGTTACAAGTTGATTTACATAAACTTTCATGAAAAGAGTCAAAGAAAAAATCTTGATTGACTGATGACAGTTACAAAATGAAGTTGAGTTAAATTTCTGTAACAATGTGTTTCAGAAACTTCTGGTTGAGCGAGGGGTATTAGGTTGAGTTGGGTCTGGAGCAGATTTTGCTAAGAAGACGGACAAGAGATCACGGAGATGAAATAGACATGAAAAGGCAGCAGCAGGGATGATAATATGATAAAAAGGCCAGTTCACTTATTGTATGAAAAGTTAAATCCGCTTATAAATTTACATCGCTCTGATACTTCTTGCTTCTGACTTGACGTTCTTTTCATCATCATCATCGTCGTCGTCGTCGTCCTCGTCATCCATCTCGCTCTACGGATTCTCTAAATTCAGAGGACTATCAATTCAGCTCTGGTTGCTGCTGATGTTTCTGGTTGTGGTGTAAGCTCTGTTTCAGACCATCGAGAGGTTAAATTTATATGCAATCCATTTAAATTCAGCAAAGCCAGTTTTGCTTTGCTACCAATAGTTCAGTTTGAATGAGCTCTGGCTGTGTGTCTCATGGATCAAAATATCAAAAAGAAGATTTCTGCTTTTCAGAAAGGATTTGCCCAATTAAATCTAAGGACCAAATAATATGCAAAAAATAAACCCATCAAGAGATGAATTGCTCATGCTCAGGCTTCAAAAGACATTTTGCTAATCTCCTTGTATCATTTTATCTAAAGTTATCTTTACAAAATCATTCTCATTCTGGTAAGTAAAATTGGCTCATGTAAATCCTTCCTCGATTTTTCATAAACAGCAAATTGGTTACGATTAAATATTTTGAAGTAGGTTGTGCACCGTACTACAGTCATCAAATGTGCAGTCTCTGATAATAAATACATATATGAAACATATTTCCATGCAAAATATAGTTCATTAAGTACTATTAGATGATCCTCTACTACTGTTATAGTCTAAGGCACAACTGCAACTTATTTCATTATTTCATAGTTTCCATTCAAAAGTCACAAGTTTTCACAAATGAAGTACATACAATCATCGCCTAAAAATCGTGAAAATATGGACACGTATGAATGAATGAATGTTGTGGAGGGCGAGTAAATAAACAGCGAAGAGAGAAAGAAAGGAAGCGAGAAAGAAGAAGACTTTGGCGGAATCTTGCCTCGCCATCTCGGCAGCGGGCGGGCAGGAGCTGGAGAAAGTTGAAAGAAAGAATGAGGACTCATTTAGCTGTGAGGGTTTGATTGTGTGCATCTATCATCCTCCCTCTTAATATTTTAAGCCCAGTTACCCACCCATTATGAAACCCCATTACTCCCGTTATCCTCCCTTAGACCCTCACCATGAGTTATTGTAGAATAACTGAGCCACCCAGGAATATAACTCACGGTTATGGGAACACCACACACAATATCGCAGTCGAGC